GTGGTGCGTTGGATAGGGTTGGGGGCAGTCAGGGGACAAGAGGCAGGGAGGCTTAGATAGGGAGTGGAGTCCTGGGGGGCAGTTAGGGGCAGGGGTCCCAGGAGGGGGCAGTCAGGGGACAAGAGGCAGGGAGGCTTAGATAGGGAGTGGAGTCCTGGGGGGCAGTTAGGGGCAGGGGTCCCAGGAGGGGGCAGTCAGGGGACAAGGAACGGGGGGAGGGTTGGGGGTTCTGGGGGGGCGGGAAGTGGGAGGGGCAGGGGCGGGGCTCCTCCCGTCCTCTTTTTTGCTTGCCGAAATATGGTAACCCTATTTTTGTTTGTTTGTTTGTTTGGGAGCCGGCCCTGCGGGCACTCACCAGGTAGACGCTGTCCTGGCCCCCAAGCTGATGCTGAAGTCCAGGTGGAAGAGCTGCAGCGGGTGGCCAAAGCTGGCCCCAAGACTGGGGTCCAGCAGCAGCAGCGCGTCGTGCGTGGGGAGCGCCCTGGGACCGCTGTGGTTCGTGCCACCAGGCCCGGGTGGGCCATCCGACACGTGGATCATGGGACACTTGGGCTGGGGGCCACCCTGCGGAGTGCACTGAACTGCCTGCAAGTGCCGCAGGATGGCTGCCCCCCAGCGCCACAGCTGGGGCTGGGCAAAGCGGCCCAAGCCACCCAGGGGCTGTGGCAGGGCGGCCAGGAGCGGCAGCGGGGCAATAGAGGGGACTGGTGACCGGGGCGCTGCCGTGCGGGGCCCACATCCCGCTCTCCGGGGCTCTGTTCCGCGCTAGCCGTTCCCTCTGAGGCTGCCCTGCCCCGGCTCCTCAGCCTCCTGCCGGGGCGGTCCCCTGGCTCTGCCCTCCCAATTCCTGGCCAGTCCTGGAGGCAGGAGTCCCAGCTGGAGGAACCCTGGGCTGAGGTGCGGCCCAGGAGCCCCGCTGCTTACCCCAACCCTGCCAGCGCTAGACCGGCTGGAGGTGAGGGGGGAGTGGGTGGAGTCAGTGCCCCCCGGGTGCCGGGAAGGAGTCGGGTGGATGCAGCCTCCGCCCCTGCTAGTGTCATGAGTGGGATGCTGATGACCCGCCCTGGGAGCGAGTTACCAGTGACCCAGGGCTGGGGCGGCAGGGGGTGCGGGTGTGGGGGAAAGAGCCCAGAACTGGGGCAGCAGGTGGGTGCGGGGCGGAGCCCAGGGCTGGGGTGGGGGACAGCCAAAATTTTTTTTGCTTGGGGCGGCAAAAACCTAGAGCCGGCCCTGCTGTGATGGGCAATTATCTATACGTGTTGAAATTAAAATACATAAAATAAAATGTAGAAACAGAGGGAAGCAGACACTAAAGGAACGTTCAAAATGACTCGAAAACTCTGAATTCTGTGGCCATTCCCTTTTCATGTGACTACCTGCACCATGGAAATTCAGACGTGTCAATGCTGTCCCGTAAATGAGTACAAAAAACCAGATACGTACTTTTCGGGATTGTAAACATTCATCTCCTCCAGGAAAAGGCTATCATTTAGGAAACCGCTGTTTCCTGTCCGGGCCAAGAACTTCAATATGATTCCCTTCTCTGATCCCAGGAAAACCACCGTGTGATTCTGATGTGGCCCAGCAGCAGTGTCTACTGCAATTTTGGTCAGACGGTATCTAGCACGACAACATAGCATTTGTCATTATTTGAGTTAGTCTATCATTTATTTTATCACTTTTCCCACTTCAAATAATAGTTGATAGCTTTCTAGTAATCATATAAGAAATATAAACTATTTTTTTCAGTTGAGCTGACCCTATTAGTTCACACAGAGAGTAGTAGCTGGGCACCAAACTGATGCTGTTTTGTGTGTGAATATGTATGTTATACAGCTAGCAAAAGTGTTTGCAGCAGCAAAGCTCAAGCAGCCAGCTGAAGAGGTGCATAAATGTCTGAAACCACTTAGCAATTACTCTTCCAATCAGAAGCAAAGTGCTAGTCTGATGACTTCTATGAGCAGGGAAAGAAAATTAGTGCGTGGAAATGTTTAAAATTTCATATTCTGTCATAGAAAGCAATAGTGATGGCATATCCATATTCATCCTTTTGGTAGTAAAAGCTGTGTCAGCACAATACTGAAAAGCTAAAAGCTAAATCAGGCGAATTTATACTTCACCACATATGACCATACCACTACCACCAAGATAGCTCAGGGATTGGACAACATCAGCTCATGATGAAGAACAGCTTTGTTGAAGCTGAACCTGAGCAAGACAAAGGTGATGCTAGTGGGCAGAAGAAAACCTTAGAGGAGTTTGCAGCCATGGTTTGGTCTCCTTTCATTGAAGGCACACCCCCACAATGGATCAATTTGATTCATAGTTTAGGAGTGTGCCTCGATTCCTCGTTGATGCTAAGTTCTCACATAGCAGCTTTCTGTCTTCTTTGGTGGGCTGGGAAATGCCAATGACTCCAGTCCTTCGTTATTCCTTACACATACCTTCATCACCTTCATCTGGATAATAGCACTGCAATATACCTGGGCATGAAGCCTCCATCCCTTAGGAAACTCCACCTAAAACAAGCATGTTGCAGCACATCTTCTCAACAACATGGCCTACCACAAATACATCAGATCTGTCCTCCCCTCTCTTCACTGACTTCCAATGGACTACTGACTCAAGTTCCAGGTCTCGGTCTTTATCTTCAAAGCTGTCAATGGCTTGGGCCCACGGTATCTAAAAGACCATCTAAAGCTCCCATGGTTGACACTTCTGCTCCTCTGGCACAATGGAATTTTCTACAGTAAGGATAAAGCTCATCTATGTGGGAGACAAAACTTTCTTGAGGCCAGTCCGAGACTGTGGAATGAACTTTCGCAGACCACCACAAACTTTATCACCTTCTTCTCCAAGTGCTAGGTGCATTTGTTTGACCTTGTCTTCTCTAACATACAAACTCCTCCAAAACAAAACCCAACCCAAACTAAACACTATACTGCACAGACAATTCTCCCCCTGGGGAGAGAATGAGAGCGAGAGAATAAACTACATGAGGCAGATGTTAGTCACATCGCTTAATACGCTACAGGAGGGTGCTTAGATATTATCATGATGAGAGCAGCGTAAGAACCTTTACAGAATAGAATAGAAATGTGTTTCCCAATGTGTGGTGGTGACAATCTGAGGATTGCTGATTTATGTGCCTTTGTACAAATCTCTGTATTATTATTTCTTTTCTCATTGTCATAGAACAGATGGGGGTTATGTGATTATTTCTGTTTGTACACTTGTGCAAACACTGAAACACACCAGCACATATCCTGACAGACATCTTTGTATCCTGTGAACATATCCTGACAGGCATCTTTATTTCCTGTGGACATATCCCCTGGCTATCTGTTGAACTTTACCCAAAATTTTCTACAGAGCTGTTTCAAATACTGACCCATAAGCTAACATGCAGGGCAATGTTCCCTGCTCTACATTTCCTCTGCAATCTGGTTTCAGTGCAGCATGGTTGGAAAGGCCTGAAATCATTTCCAGTCTTGAAAGCTGCTCTGGGAGTTCTGTGGCATCTATTCAGTACTGTCATCATTCATTGCTGGATTCATGCCCAGCACAGCAGAAATGATTATTAGAATTTCAAAATATTCTAAGCATAGTTCATTAACACATCCTGACAGCATGTTAAGAGGGTTAGGAAAGTCCATTTGGAAGTTAGTTATTTACCTGACCATCGTCCTCAGGAACCAGGGCCTGCTGACAATTGAAGGAACAGCCTCGTCCATGAGAGGATGCGTTTTGATGAAATTTAGAGTATCATCTGGGAACTCATTGGAGGTTATGTACTTTTCTAATGATACAGAGCCAGCACAGCAACCTGGCCTAAATGAAACAAGGGGGGAAAGTACTTATTTAGTGCCTGAGGGCAAATCTTCTAAGTGAATTGCTTTTCTAAGCATCTGGCACTAGGCAAGAATTTGCCAAAGGTTCTGTGCTGAACAATTCAGAATGCCACCAAATGAAGTACTGTTAGATTTCCTTTGGGCCTGCTGAGATCTTAGTGGGAGTCCAGGACTCTGTTCTGCCTATCTCAGGAATACTTTGATTTATTGCCACCCTAACAAGCAGATCATGAAGTTTTAAATACATGAGTCTGCAGTCCATCCACCCACATGGAGTCTAATAAATGTACAGACTTATTTGGCAAAATACTGTACATGGATAAGGCACTCTCCCGGTTTTAACTGGCCCCATTACTGTGGCGCTTTCTCATGGAATAAGTGTACTCTATTTAATTTACAAGGGGAAAGTTGGTTTTTTACAGTGTGAAATAAAATGTTCAAAATACAGCCCAGTGGGGGTGGGGGAACCCAGCATCAATGTGAACACCTTATTTACTGTGGTTTCACTTGGTTTCTGACAAGCATGAGAACTCCAGTGTGGCAGAATGACAGTATCCTGCAATATCCTGAACAAACCTCATTGAATAAAGATTAATTTTAGTGAATTAAGTTAAACCTTTTTGAAGCAGATTTAATATCTTTGGGGTCCATTGTATTACAATTGCAACTGTTTACATGTTACTGTAGGATTGTATGTAATTTTTCTAGGGACTTGACTAATATAAATGTTAGGAACTTCAAATAACTTCTTTGGGAGAATATGTGTGAAGTGGGTTTCCTAGTAGATAGTTGGGAGGCCATTGGCAGCTATGCCCTGGAGAAAGACCCATTGTCTCCTAATTACCTACTCCTGGAAACCCCAGATCAAAGACCCCTGTATAAAGGATGGACTAAACTTTTCATGACTATGCTTGTTCTGAGCTGAAGCTGTGATCAACTTAAACATAAGAACGGCCATACTGGGTCAGACCAAAGGTCCATCTAGACCAGTATCCTGTCTTCTGACTGTGGCTAATGCCAGGTGCTTCAGAGGGAATGAACAGAACAGGTAATCATCAAGTGATCTATCCCATCACCCATTACCCGCTTCTGACAAACAGAGGCTAGGGACACCATTCCTGCCCATCCTGGCTCATAGCCATTGATGGACCTATCCTCCATGAATTTATCTAGTTCTTTTTTGAACCCTGTTATAGTCTTGGCCTTTACAACATCTTCTGGCAAAGAGTTCCACAGACTGACTGTGCATTGTGTGAAGAAATACTTCCTTTTGTTTGTTTTAAACCTGCTGCCTATTGATTTCATTTGGTGACCCCTGGTTCTTGTGTTGAGAGGAGTAAATAACACTTCCTTATTTACTTTTTCCACACCAGTCATGATTTTATAGACCTTTATCACACTGGTTCTCAAACATCTGTGCTGGTGACCCCTTTCACATAGCAAGCCTCTGAGTGCGACCCCCCCCTTATAAATTAAAAACACTTTTAAATATATTTAACACCATTATAAATGCTGGAGACAAAGCGGGGTTTGAGGTAGAGACTAACACCTCGTGACCCCTCATGTAATAATTTCACGACCCCCTGAGGGGTCCCGACCCCTAGTTTGAGAACCCCTGCTCTATCAGATCTCTCCTTAGTTGTCTCTTTTCAAGCTGAAAAGTTCCAGTCTTATTAATCTCTCCTCATATGGAAGCCGTTCCATACCCCTAGTCATTTTTGTTGCCCTTTTCTGAACCTTTTCCAAATCCAATACATCTTTTTTGAGATGGGGTGACCACATCTGCATCTGAAACCACAAGGAACCTCTGGGATGAAGGTATGAAGGACTGCTCCTACCAGAGCCCATGTTAAAGTTGGGGTGAAACCTGGTAAGATTATTAGCATGAGTGTAGATTCTTTTATTGTTTTAATGTTTTTAATGTAGTGCTTTTTCCTTACGAATAAAATAGGTCTACATAGGAAGTGCTGGGTGATAACTCATAACTGTTGGCAATTACATGGCATGCTGTCTCTGAGAGGAGAAGCAAGCAGGCCTGTTTAGACAGACTGTGTTTTGCTGGGAAAATCACAGTATAATCCTGGAACTGGGCAGCCCGGAAATACCCTGGTCAGGAGGGAGGGAGACACATGGCTCCACCCAAGAAAGGTAACTTCTAGGGAGCTGAAAGCCTGAGAGTGGGTGCCGTTGCTGTGCCATAGAGAGGAATACAGGTGTAGTTGCCCTGAACTGTGACACCCAGTACTGTAGGTATGAGTAAGGCTAAGATTTAGTCATGGGTATTTTTAGTAAGAGTCATGGACAAGTCACGGGCATTAAACAAAAAATCCATACAAAAAAAGTCCATGACTTTTACTATATAAATACCCGACTAAACCTTAGCAGCTCCTGGGGTTCCCGGCGCTGCTGCTCTGTGGGGCCCCTAGGACATCGCTGCTGCGGGGGCCCACCGATGGCTAGCCCCTGCACTGGCCACAGGGGCTGACTGCCCCCAGCAACCCCTGCTCCGAGGTCCCAGGGACCGCTGCTCAGGTGCTCCCAGGGGCTGTCCCCGGGACAGTAGACATAACATATACATGATGGCATTTCAAAGTTCCTGTCCAGGGAACAACTTACAAATAAAGTTGAAGATAGATACACTTAGGCCTAATGAAGAAATTGAAATGCTAGGTTCAGTAAGTCTCTAAAACATAATGGGCCAAATTCAGACTTGGTGTAACTGGGTGCAATGGAAGTCTTTTGGATCAAATTAAATGATGGATTTGGGACCAGATTCTACTAATAGTTACAGTGGTATAACTCTATTGACATAAATGGAATTATTCCAGATTTACACCAGTATACCATTAAGTGGAATCTGGCTTTGAGTGTGATGGGTGTAGGTGGCAAGGTAGTGTAACTTGCACTGAACTGGTATTTAATGGGTCTACAAAATGAGTGCAATGAACATGTCTAAGGGAGTGGAAGGGAAATGGACATAAGGGAAACAATTAATAGGTGCTATTAGATAAAGCAGATCCCCTTTTTTATCTTACACCTTCTAGTTAGTTGCTTTTCCTTCTTCCCCCTTATTTCCTCCTACTTGGCACATTAAGTTATATTTGTTATGTTACCCCCAAATGGCAAATTGGTGCCATTCATTTCCCGACAATGTGTAACTTATACCATCTTAAGCAACCCCTGATTTTGATCTAATGGGTATGATCCTGATCTGACCTGTATTAAAGCTGATTTCAATGGACTACTACTGATACACCACCATAACTTAGATCAGAATCAGGCTGAATTCCTATTTCAGTTAAAATATGCATTTCCCATTACATCTGTATCTCACATTGCTGCTCAAGCTGTCTAACATGTTGTATTGTGTGCACCAAGACACAATCCATTACTACACAGCATATGAATGCATACCTGGGTTTGGGCACTCGCTCATCAGGAACTGGTGTCCACGTAGAATCTGGAGACTTTTGTTCTTTGAATCTCCCAGTAAATACATTGGCAATGTCAAGCATGTCATAGGCACAGACTGCAGAGCCAGGGATGCTGCAACGTGACATTTCCCAGAAATTGTTACTCATTATGCAGTTATGCATAAAATTTTGACTGAAAAACATGCTGCATAGAAGTTTTCCTGTCACAGGCTACTTAGTCCTGAACTTTATAACCTCCGGGTATTGACAGTAAAAGGCTGCCCCATGCAAAAGTTTGAAATGTACCAATGGGTAGTCAGTTTCAAAAGCCTCTAAAGAAAGAACGAATTTCAGTAATCTTGAAGAGGGAAAAGAATCTGGGAAACTCTGCTTGCCATTGGTGATGTATGAAGAGTAACAGGCTATTCATTTAGCGCCCAGTACTTGGAAAGCCAAGTTCCTGTAATTCATAATACACTCTCAGTACTGATTCTCACAGTTCTTGCTGTGCCCCCAAAATACAATCTAGAGATAATTCAGAAGTTGGAGCTGATGCATCTCTCTGTGCTGAAGGATCCCATTAAGACTGAGAGCTGAACAGTATCACAACATCCTTTCAGGTTCAGATCTCCATCAGGTTTTCCTGTACATTTCTAACTGACTTCCTATACACAGTTAACTCAATCAACTGTAAAGAGTTTGCAGAAACAAACACAGTGTTGCTTATAGCCACTAAAAATTTCAATTAGGATTTTGATTATTTGCATGTAACTGGATAGTAACCATGTCCAAATATAATTACATTCTTATATAAATACTATTGGAAGGGCTTAGAGGTTTCCCTTGGTCAATGACTTTAAGTTATGAATTATTCATTTATCTACCTTTTATTGTTTACACATGAACTCTTGCATTTGCGTCTGACTTCCGCTGCTTGATTTTGATCAGATAAATACTGAGCACCAGCTGGCCAAGATTTGTAATCAGGCTTTTGGCTAGTGGACTATAATACACCACAGAAGACACCTTGTTCCTTGGCCTTTGAAAGTGGGAACAAAACTATGGGGGGGATACCACAAGACTTAGAAGGGAACGTAAATTGATATCAAAATAGTTTTATAAATATTAATGAGAGTTTGTCATTTTAATTTCAAAATGCAACATCCAGAGGGCTAGTAAATGAAACAGAAATAGGGGAACCTCACTAGCCCTGTTTGAAACAAAGGGAGGTGGTTAGCTCTCCAAAGGCTGGGCTGTCCCATGGAAGGAGACCTAGTGCAAAGGTTGCTAATGTGAGTCCACATTCTGAAACATTTTAAAGAGAGAGAGAGCCAAGTTCATCTTGGTGTAACTTTGATGGAGTTATACCAGGGTGACTTTGGTCCTGAGAGTCTAACTGAGGGTGCCAGGAGTATCTAGGGCTCAATCCTGAAAGGTGAAGAGCAATTCCTGCACGTGCTGAGCACCTTCAAGTCCCATTGGAGATGGAGGAGTTCAGCACTTTATAAGATTAAGCCCCTAATGAAGGGCGAAAAGCAATTTAACAGCAGGAGGTTTGGTATGGAGAACAAAAACACCTGCAGAGTTCAACTCCACACTCCCTGCATAGTGAAGAGATCCCCGTGGAAGTGGATATGGGCAGGCCAAAGGTCTAGCTATTGAGGATCGCAGCAGGTGGATCCACTTAGCACAGTGGGGGAACAGCAAGCCATATCCAATATTCCCCATAACCCAGTAGGAGCTGGACCCAGACCCATGGCCTACTTCTAGGCAGGGATTGATGACTCCCTTCTTACTAGCCCCTTCTAGTTCCTGTGAACAAAGACATTTTACAAGGCCCTGCTCAATGGATCAGAAATTAGCTTTAGCCACTCCATGCATAAACCTGTTGTTGCAGTGTCTCCAGCCGCAATGTATATCCTCCCATCCCCTGCAAAAAAGACTTTGCCCACAGGAATAATACTTCACATATTATATGATGGTTTCCACGTCTTAAATTCTCATAGATTATTTCCCAGAGCCCTCCAAGCCTCCCCAACATGCTATAAAATCTCCAGGGCCCAGTGGTGGGCGGGGCTTGGGACTCCGGGCTTCAGCTGCTGGGCTGGGGGGACGGGAGGACTCAGAGCTTCTGCCCTGCAGCAGGGTAGTGAGTCTAGGGGCTTCTGCCCTGCAGGGTGGCAGGGCTCCGGGCTTCAGCTGCGAGGAGGTGGGTCTCGGGGCTGACGGTTGCAGTAGTAGACATCTTAATGATTACTATCAGCACAGCATGGAAAACCCTGGAAAACTTTCAATTTAGAGGCAATTCTGATGATATAGCCCACTTTCTGGTGCATTCTTTTGATTTTTTATTAATTATTATTTTATTTAGGTGATTTGCATGAAAACAGAATCATCTGCTCCTGTTGCTTAGTTTTTATTTGAAGTCATGTCCTGCATTTGTGGCATAATCATTCCACAGCAGCTACTCTAATTTTGTTGTCAGAAGCAGTAATTATACATTGGAGGCCTGCGCTTGCTCCCATTTGAAATCAGTGGGAGTTTTATCATTGACCTCAGAGGGGTCACCCTTTGACTCTAGGTGGGAAATGTACGGCAAGAGCAGATGAACTCCAGCAATAAAGTTCATGTTGCAGCCCCAGTGTCCCTTGTAATATAGAACAGGGGAAAAGAAACAGACCCTCTGGGGCCCTGCAGGAATTTTTCTTTAATTAGAACATTTTTTAACTTTTCCTGAGACCTCAGTAATTAGATGCAGTTACATGTTTTAATAACTTTCCAAGCAGCATGTTATAATATACACTGGTAACAAATTCTAAACAGATGTCATGGAAAGCCTTTATATGCTGAACTATAAAATGCAGGTGTTAGAACAACGGGTCCCATTATTATTTATTGTTTGTGTTGTGGCAGTGCCATTACCAAGAACAGATCTCTATTGTGCTAGGTTCTGTACAAACACACAGGAAGACATGTCTATACACAGAGGGGATCCTGCATCCATGAAATGGGAGAGTTCCCCTCACTTGGCATGCCCACTGTTTTCCTCTCAGAATCCCTTTAATGGAGCATCATGGGGTTACAGCTCCATTGGCTTAGAAGGGACAGGAAGGTGGCAAGCTAGATCTGGAGTCTTCCAGTTTCTCCCCTACAAACTCATGGTGAGAGCTACAGCGATTAACACAAGATGAGGATGTGTTAACTTCCACTACTATCCTGTCCACACTTTGGAGCCCTTTTCTGTGAATGTGTGGGCAGCCAGGTCAAGACCTTAAGACAGACTGCCAGGGGCTAGCAGGAGTTGGTGGGGTAAGGCGGCAGGGTGGAGGCAAGGGACATCTGTATGTATCTTGAAGAACCCAGGGCTTCTTCTAGGTATCTGGGAGGGGCAAACCACACTCTGCCAATAGAAGAATGAGTAGGAAACTCTGCAAGTTGGACACGCAGAGTTTTCTGTCCCCTATCTAAAATTATTCCAGCATAAAGGACAATGTGCCTAACATATGTGACCATATAGCACATGATTTAAAACTCATCTCAAGCATCAGTCATATAATGTAATAAACAATATTAGAGTATTTAAAATTGGAAAAATGGGTGCCCATATGTGCATGCTAAATAAAACTTATATTTTAATAGCTACTGCTTCTTGTAGCTTTAAAGTGTAAGAAGAAACTGGAATGAAAAGGCAAAACACACGGTACGTATTTAGCACAAACCAAAAAGCTACTGCATTGGTTACCTGTTATAAGGGGTGGAGAAGGTTGCCAAGACAATATCATGGCCATTGATATGGATAACATCCGTAACAGCCTGCAGTATGTTAAAGTAGAAGTGTGAATCGCCAGGAACTGAGCAGTTCAGGCGAGCCTTGAGAAAGGAAGTCCACTGTTTTTCCAGCACTCTCTGGGATCCTCCCATGTCATTCTTGCAAACCTGAGCCACTCTTGGGAAAACTACCTGCAGTGAAGGAAAAAAATAGAGAAAATGAAATATTTCTTTGATCAGAGAAACTTTATTAAAAAAAAATAGAAATGACACAGCGAGGTGCTTAATTTAATCCCATGTTTCCATAATCTGTGACAAATAACAAACAGAGGAAAATTCAGCTTTGGAAGAGTGTGCTATAAAAGATAAGGCTGAGGCATTTAATACCCAGCCATAAATCCTCCAGGAGATCAGTTCTCAGCCCATATAAACTCATTTCCATACAGACTGCTTAGCTTTCTATTTCCCCAAACAAAAGCACTTTATATTCACAATCCCTGCAACCCACGCTGCCAGCCTCTGGGTCTTGTATCTTCGGCACTCAAAACTATGCAAACCTCGCTGGGCTTGTATTCATACCCTGCACCTTTGTGACCCTTGTCAGCTTTTCTGTCTGCTTACTTGGAAGTCTATTGTGGAAATATCAAAAAATTTTATTCAGTAAGTGTTCAATTGTTCTTTACAATAAGGCAAAGAACAAAATTCCTCCCTTGTTTACTTAGTGCTCCTGACTCTCATCTCCTAAATATAGCTGCCTCTTTAAAGTAAAAATTTTAACTATTATCTGATACGATGAATTAAATGAATTTGCCATTTACTTTGCAGAGTTAGGAAAATAAAAGAGCTTCCAGCACATATTGCCACCATCACATTGTGTATCCAGACAGTGCAATGTTTCACTTCAACCAACCTTTTGGCTCGAGCAGTAGGATCCTCTCAAAACGATGACCTTGTCATTGTGATTTATGGTTCTCATTTCAAGGTCATTCCTAACAGCACTGGTCCAAGAGCAGTTTTTTCTGAATATTACAAAGAATCGAAGGCAATTCTCTTACCTTTCCCATACTGTTGTACTCCACTGCTATTTCCCGAAAGAAGAAGTAGATGTAGTCGCCATAATCTACCGCTTGGACAAAGTATGGCTCTGTAAACAGACAACACATTCTGTCTATGTGTACACCATATATAAAATAAAAATGAATCAAAGGCACAGATAAGAGCAAAACATATCATTGCATACCCAAAGAGACAAACTTTTTGGAGGGGGACAGAGCTCTGTTTTCAGCCCTTTCACCCAGACCATGGCTTATCAGACAGGAAACAATTCATTTTGGATGGATGTAGTGGCTGAAGGCAACTCTGTGGAGAACCAATGCAAGGCAATTACGCACTTACATGCATGCCACTGAAATTACCCCCCTTTGGATTTCAGCAGGAGAATTAGGAAAGGTGAAGATAGTGACACTTTCAAATATGGGCATGGGTAGCTGGTGCAAGGGTAGATCCTTATGGCCAAAACCTCACACGTGGAGAAAATAGCAAACCATGCAATCTGCTGTTCCCTAGACTTAGTGATAGCAGTAGCACATATGGACTAGCTCCATGGGTACCTGGTATTAACACACATATACACACACACACTGGGCTAATGGTTTCTTCCCTCAACCCCATTCTGTTTCAGCATTTTTGCATGCAAGCCAAGCCCTTATACCTGAGCTTGGCTCACTGTCTCGCTGCCATTCATGATGTGTTTGTGAGGGTAAGCAGTAACTTTCTTAACAATGAAGGTATTTACAAATTGTCTAATTCACCGGCAAAGCCATACAGCACCTAAAATGAAGGCTTTGTGTCATATCCCCAGAATGGTATTTATATCGATGAATCATAACGTTGCAGAACAAATTCTCTGTATCTCATAAAACCCTGATTGTTACCTACCACAATCCTAGGAAAGGAGTTGGTTCAGGCACAGCCCAAAAACATTGGTCTCCTCTCCCAGCCCTGAAAATTTCATCTTTTTACACAATAGCTATGAAATGAAAGATTCAGGCTTGGAAAGTTGGATGTAATGTATTTTACTGTGGTGGTACTTGTAGTTTCTTTTAGTATCCAGTATCGGGGAGGGTAGGTGGGAAGGGAAGAAGGGGAAGGAAGGCAGGAAATCAGAGTAGGTAAAAGATGTAATTTAGTTTCTTCTATCTGACAGAAAACATTGATGAAATGAAACTGCAGCGAGGTCTGTCAGCAATCCAAGACTCTCATCAGAGATGCAGCTCCCTTTTTTTTCGTTTGTGTACTCACCTTTTAACCATTTTGAGTCATGTTTGACTGTCCGCAGGGTTGGGCTGTCTCCAAGGCTCCGGTAAATGACTGCATCTATTGCAAGGAAGTCAGTCACTGTGGCAGAATACAGCTTTCCCTCTTGGGGAGTGGGAAAGAAAAAGAAAAAAAATGGGAGGAAGGAGAAATAATGTAATTATTTTCCTTCATCAATCAAATGAGATGGGACAAATGAAATCATCTCAATCTCTTTGGAATGAAAATTCTGAGTGGGTAACTGGAATCACAGGCAGACTGAAATGTTCCTCATTTTAAAAATGAAATGGCAATTTCAGAAGGATGCACTGGAAACAGGGCATTCCCAGAAAATGTCCTCTGTTTTACTAGATTAGATAAATTGGGACTGGAATGCCCGGCTTCATTGTAGACACCACTACCACAATACCATAGGTAATCTAATGTGACTGGAACAATGGCTGGAAAAGCTGGGGTTGTTATCCACAGATCCCAGCAAAATAAATGGATATGAGGGAGACCAAGAGAACTGCTAGTTTTTAAACAAGTTTGTCAAACTATGTACTTCTGGAGAGCATTGTTCCTTGATTTTGTTATGTTAGCTAATTGACACTTAGTATTTCTTCTTTTTTTGTCTTTAATGTGCAAAAAGCTCCGCTCCTTTAAGAGTTCTAGCACAAAAATTATCAGTGTATGGCATGGCAAAGCAAATATATAACTGTGAAGAGACTGATGAAGGCTCTGTATCCTTTTAGATATCTGATCTATGCTTAGGCATCTTTACCTCTTAAAGAGCATAAGAGGAGGAAAGCTAAGAATGTGCTGTAAACAGGGCACAGCAAGGACAAGAGAGTAAGGCAAAACATCACAAGGAAAGCACTGACAAAGTTTAATTTGATAGTAATTGCAAAATCTGGTCATTGTACCATAGGGCTATTTTAGGTTATAAGAAATGTCTTTCACCCATGATAATTCACAGTAACACAAACAATAGAACATTATGCAGCTCCAATAACTCAAATCTCAGTTGTGTCTAAATGAAGTGGGTATGGGGTGCACCCACCTCATTGGGAGCTATAATGGGTATTAAGCTAGAACTTATCCACGCTGGATATATGATAAAGTGGGTGCCCCCTTGTTCAGAGGTTTCTGAACCCTTTTGGCCTATACCTCTGCTTATTTCCAGCTAACAGCAGCAGACAGCATTTCATTTCCCTTCAAGGTTTAAAAAACAGATCAAATCTTTTCATTACCAGGGCAGTAATCTTACTTCTGTACCACGCAACTCCTATCAGATTTTGGCTGTTTAAAAATAGGTCTACTTTCTTAGGCGAAAATAAATAAGTGTTTTAAAAGCAGACACTAAAACCAATAAAAAGGCTGAACTTTTCAGCTGTGGATGTCAGAGCTCAACATTAATATAATCACTCTCCTTCCTGCCACATCCCAGTAGGTCTCATGACAATCACACTTCACATACACTAGCTACAATAGCTGCAAGAAGAGTCATATACACATAAGCACATCCTACAGATTAAAGTCAGCTGGGCTAGCTCCCGAAACTGCTGGTTACTACAAAAGCTTTTCCCAGGGGATCAGACTTTATAACCTATCAAACACAGAATGCTTTTACTAAAGCCGGGCGAGTTTACTTGATCCATTCTGTAACAATTTATTTGACAAACTTTACCTCTTATACTGAAAGGCAACAGTCCTGATACACAGAACCTCATTAGTCAATTGACTAATTTGTGATAACTTGCACTGTATCTTGCTCCTAGGAACATATCTAAAATGAGGGTACTGTAAGAATGTGTGATATGTGCCTATGACATGGGAATGGTGCCTAATATACAGCAGCTACTTATATAATACACTTATATTAGTGGATGCTGTTTCTTTAAAACCCTCTTCCTCTGCAAGCATTTAACTTCTTTTGGATTAAAAAAGAGAAGTCAGTAAAAAGAAGGTCACTCCCCAACATCCAGAAAAATCCCTCTAGTTTTGTCCTTACTATAATTAATGAACTATTCATTAGTATTTTTAAATTAGATGGCGCCATTAATTTATACTAAGCTGAGTGAGGGCACGCTGCATCCTACTAGAGAATCTCTCCTTTGTAAAAGACACCATGTCAGTTCAGACACTGTAGGTGGTACTATGTCTTTTTGGTTACAGCAATGATCTCCACTTAATAGTGGCTGATCTGTTTATGAACTGCTACACTCTCAAGTGAATTTCTAACATCTTTTCTAACAAATAGTTAGTCATTATTTTCTATGTAATAGCAAGATACCCGCTCAAAAAACAGGAGTAATGTTATCCTAGGTTGCTAACACACTTTACCATCTATGTTACAGCCAAACCTGAGATGTGGTCACGAGAGTTCATAATAAATAGAAGTGCAAAAATGAAACAATATAATCAGAAATCTATAAAAGGGAAGAAGTACCAAAATATCATTTTATAACCAATGGCCCAAATTAAAACCATTAATATGCACTCACTTTTTAAATTACTGTGAGAAACAATAGTTAACTGCATTCGGTTACATGCAGCATAAAATCATCATTAAAACAAGAGATTTCTCTCCATCCCCTGCCACAGCTGGGAATGATCTGTCAAGATGTTTCTTTTTAAAAAAAAAAAAAAAAAAAAAAAAAAAAAAAAAAAAAAGAGCCAGCACTTCTGATTTCCTTGTTGATGCAGAGGAGTGCACTCACAGATATTTTTAAACATCTCTGAACTGACCTTCTTTATGAAGGGTACCTTAGTTTTAACCAAATACAGGACCATAGCCTGCTCCCGCTAAAGTCATTATGAGTTTTGTCCTTGGCTTTCATAGAAGCGGTCAGTATTTCTGTCTCACACTGATCTGGCGTTATATTATCTCACTTCTTTTGCCACGAATCCAGTAAACATGAATCAGGAAACTGAGGCTTTAGACAATGTTGATTATGGTACTGAAGTTAATACAGCAGCTTGTGAAGTTTCCTGCACTAATGATTCTTGTGGCCCCTATTTTGAGTCATTATTCACTTATTGTGCCACATTTTAAATGAGACCTGAAGAAGAGCTCCGTGTAAGCTCGAAAACTTGTCTCTCTCACTAATAGAAGTTTGTCCAATAAAAGATATTACCTCACCCATCTTGTCTCTCACATTTTAAAAGTGTCATTTTGTATGGGAGGGATATTGTACCATGGCAAGCAGGACTTGGAAGAAGGGAAGGAATAGGTTAGTCTCACTTTTCCTTATTTACCTGCGAACAGTGCAACATTGGCATGTTTTGCATCATAGGGGCACCTGGCCATTCCACTGAACTCATCTCCTAGGAACTCCAGTGTCTCCATCTGAAGAAAAAAAAAAAGGAATCTCTTCAGAATAAAAAAAATGAAACTTATTACCCAGGACAAAAACTATGATACTATTCATTTCATAGCAGGGAAGAAGTTCCTTTTTGTAGCAGTGGTTTTGGCTATGAGTTAAGAACAGTGCAAAATTATAGCATTGCATAAAATCAATCTATGAAAGAGTATCCAATAAGTCAGACATCCTTTAAAGCTTCTCGTTCTTATCCCCATTACATTTTACAAAAGTATTCAGCTGATATTTTCTCTGTACATGGGTTTCCTGTTGAACTGTAATGGGCTATGCGGTCTGTGATTCTGGAAAATATTCAGATGTTATCCTCAAAATGATGCAACAGAAGTACTATTATCCAGAGCAATAGCCTGCAACCCATACAAGTGAGAGGAAAAGCACAAGGTAATTTTGTATGTGTGCATTTTTTCTCCCTCTTAAGCTGGGGCACTATCTGGGCTAGTCAAAACTGTGCTATTCTCTTTTCTGATTTGCATGTTGGAAAGGACCACTTTCCAGGTGTTACTGGGCCTGTGTCATATAGCAACCCTCTTACCATCAAGCAAGAATTAATCTGTGCGGTAGTTCTAAAATTCTAGGCTTAAGTATAACCCCTAGGAAATTAATTCACCACCAGGTACAGGTAATTATACAAATAACCAGCTCAACCTCATGCAGAAGTTCAAGGGTTTTTAGTAAACTACACGTAAAGGTGCTGATCCCACATGTTTAAGACTCATATATCGTAGCTGGCAACATTAATCAACAGTGTAGCCCACAGAGCTAGCTTAGCATTTTATTTTACTTTTCAGTAATGCAAGGAACCTACAGGCCTGTATCCTGTAAGACATTGGCATAAGTAAGTTAGAATAAGTAAAATAGGCCTATGACCCTTAGCATAGATAAAATGGCCTGACAGTTACCCTAGATTTTGGGGAAGTGGGAATAGCTTGCTCAAGAGAGGGAGTTGGTACATAATACCAGGCAAATGCAGGAATACTGAACTGATACTTGGCCTGGATATTTTAGGATACAATTGTTGGCAGATGTCTAACCACCAACTTGCTTGAGCAATAGGTGACGTATATGATAAAGAGGTAAATGGCATTAATATGTTAACCTATAGGATAAATGCACCCCAATATTATGAGGATGAGGAAGTTAGATTTGGACATGGAAGGCTGAGCATCAGAGTGAATATCTGTGAGAGTGCCCAGGTTCTATAATAGGCTAAGCCACCATGTAGCAGGGGCTAGCTTTCCATCCTTTAGCTCTTCATTGTTATCTACCACTGACCTTTGGGTGTTGAGGATTTGGACCATCGGACTCAGTTGGCATGCCAGGGACAGGGCTCGACCTTTGTCTCTCACCCCCAGAGCCCCAAGGAAGGGTTGAGTATAAGAACGTGAGCATATGCAGGGAATGACACCAAAGATATCCCTAATACTGTATTACAGCTATTTGTTTATGTGGTTTGGAGTTTTTTGTCTTTACTGATTGTTTTAATAAAGATAGCAAAGGCTTTGCTTTATCTTCAGTGTGAGTGTCTTTGCCATTCACCCTGAGGTACCCTACAAGATATTGAACTTGTCAGTTTTAATTCTGTGGAGCCTGATTCTGGGACGAGAACACTATTACCCCCCCCTCCAGCTCATTCATTAGTATTAATTGGCAATCAATAGTATTATTATTAACCATTCAAAAGGATCAGGCTACATCAATAACTTGTATGTTGGGGTAAAATCCTTCTAACATATTTAACTCACTTCAACAGTACACACTGTATAATTCAAATGCAGAGTTCAGAATCATAGACCATGAAAAATAATCCATCTAGCACCATCAAGCTACCCCAATCAACTTTAAGCTCATATGTTATGAAACCTAACTCATTCAATGGATGATTTGTCATCATTTGTTTTCTGTCATGTATCTTTTCTGTCAAGACCTTCTGAACGGAATCAGTTGTGTTTACTCTAGGATGGGAAAGCATTTAAAGTGATGGTGAAAGGAAATGAGCTATGCTCCAGAGGTCCTTCCCTCTGCAAGGAGCACAACATTCCAGGGTCATCTGTACTTTCACTTTACAGTGCTGAGGGATGGCCTTATCTTCAGTTTGGCATATCTCAAGTGCCCTGGTGCCATCTGTAATCCCTGAAATACAGTCAGGGAAAGTCAGTGCAGGTGTCAGAGTGACCTTCTGTAGGCCCCAAGAGACATCACCGTGCAGGCTCTCAGAGCATAGCAACAGCTGAGGGAATCAGCATGGGCCATATATCATGGGGAATGAAACATCTGCAGAAAGGATCCTCACATTAGGATGCCAAGAAAATCCGTATTTGTACTAAAAAATAGCTTTCCGGCAAGGGGACTCCTAGGAATTTGTTAGCAGCATTAATTGTACTGAGCACTAAGCAATGACAAACAGAAAACTAAACTTAGGACTGGGAACAGGAAACCTGGCAACATGATGTGGATGGAAGGTTGGGGATAAGGGAAGGGGAAAAAAAGAGAGACTTTTTTTAACCAGACCAGTTGTTCTAATTTCAGTACTCCTCATATCAGGTATCTGCACTATATAATTAACACAGAGCTATAGAGAAGACTGTGCTGCTGCTCTGCACATGTGTTGATGTGTTTAGCTCCTTCCAGGCTAAAGCCATTGCAGGAGCTAAACCAGCATGGCAGAGGAAGGATGGTGAGAAGTAGGGTAATACTGTGTATCACTGCTGTAGTTGCTTTCCTGGCAGTTGATATCTTCAGTTTGTTTTCAGGACACTTCTTACAATAATCCTGGACCTGATCCTGTACCTTGAAGTAATGGGAGGTTTGCCATTGACTACTATATGAACAGGAGTAGGCTTTTTATCAGTAGTAACTGAATCTTCTTCCTCTCCAAAGAAAGGTTAGAAATGCACCTTGTGACAAAGGCAGATTCTAAAAGAGTGCACTGCTCTTAGGCTCAATACTAAGGTCCTGATCTAACTCTTATTAAAGCAATTGGAAAACTCCTATTGATTTCAGTGGGGTCTGGATCAGGACCTAAAACCCTACTCCTCAGACAATAGACAAAGGTTGAATAAATGGCTTTGCATGAATGCAGAAACACTGGCACACAATTGGGCTGAGGGAAGGAATCTTCAGCTCTAACATGTGGTTTATTAGCAGGGCAGATGGGCAGTTGTTTAGTGCAGCCTGCTCCTAATCTCTATATGATGTTTTGACCTTGTAGATACCCCATTTCTTTTCCCCCTCTGCATTTCCCTGTAGCAGTCTACTGCTGAAATCACTTTCACAGAATGAAGAAGTGTGTAGAGTCCTGCACAGGTTCCCTACTAATTGGGTCCCCAAATACCAGTGCAGCAATGCACCACTATGCTAAGCCCCTAAGTGTCTAGGCTAGTATCTTTGGGATTGGGCACAACACAACAGCCAGATTCAAAATGGTTTATGGATGAGAAATCCTCAGCCTCAGGCCTGTACTTTGAGATGCGTCAGAAGTAAACTTTTTACTTAAGAAAGTTCAGGGTACTAGCCCATGTTTTTGCAGTGAGCTGTAAGTTATTGTTCAAGACAACTGAGAAGGATAAGATCAAGTAGCAATATACTTTTATGTGTAGAGGTTGCAAAGAGGTGTCTATATCAATCCAGGCAAATCGTAGAAACCCAATCAAGATTCCACATATAGAATGCTGAAGAAGTCAAACAAGTGAGGATAAACTATGTAATGTTGAATGATACATTTTATGCTGCCAACCACACAGTCAAAATAAATTGTTAAATTTCTCAGCGCACAGCTGCAATCTCCTAAACATAACACCTACCTTATAGTTCCTGCAAGAAGGGTTGAAGGCATTTGTTCCACAGATAAACAAGGTATCATCGTTTCGTTTCAGGAGGACTTTAATAAAATTATGACACTCATCCTGAAGAAAAATAATAAAAAGTATTTTACACAATATATTACAAATGTTTGGCTTTATTCTTGTGCCATGATCTTTCATTGTCAGGGCTAAAATGAAGCTGGCTAGTAGCCACTGTGACATTCTGGGCTTTAGTTTCACAATTTTTTAACTGACAGTGAACAAGACAATGAATTTTCATTCCATTTGTTTCAACACAGTTGCTAGGAACTGAGGACATTTTATTTACATTACAGTTCAGACTTCATTATTGTTCATGAATTTTGTTTGAACTTTGTTGCTTTAATCAAAACTGAGGACCTTTCGGATATATTGCTGTAATACAATAGTAACACTAATTTATTCAGTGCAGTGCACTAAAGTAAAACTGATGGAAATCAGGTCCAGAAACTCTGGGCCCGATTGTGAGCTGACTAATGTTAGTCAGTGTTTGCACTAGTGTAAAATTGGGGTGAGATCAGAATCAGTTCTTCTGCATCTAGAAACACACACTTTGTATTATGGCTTTTTATGAGCTCTTCAGTTAACTCCCAATGGAGAATGGACAACAGTGTTTAGCTATAGGAGGCAGCATTAAGCAATGTCAGTACACTTAGCACTGTGTCCATAATTCCCACTGCTTCTAAGTATTTCATGATGTTACTGCAGCTGCTGTCGTAATGTTTCATCACATTAAAAGCAAACTATTTTTGCAAATTAAAGACTTCAGTAAGTTGATGGAAAAAGCAATTACTAGCAAAGAAGTGAATGGCATGATCCATTCCACATCACAGAGAGCAGTCTGAGATAATAGTTAAGAAACTAAACTAAAGTGGCAGCTGCAGGAGAAATGAAAATTGCCTACCTTATGTTTTCCCTTCATTCTGCATGTGTCTACATCAGCCTGTCTAGATTTCCATGTCAGTTTCTGCAAGGATCAAGAAAGAAATCAATTAGAGCCCAGAGGTTGTTGCATTTGATTTCAGAAGTAAGAGTTCCCTAGGGGAGACTAGCTGCTGAACATATATTTATTGAAAGCTTTCTGCACCCTTTCTCCATGATTAATTCACCATAACAATGAAAGATCAGTGATGTAGAACATTCACTTAATTTTCTGTTGGGTTTCTAGTTTAATGAATAGATAGCATCTCACCTTCTAAAGCCTGCAAACATGTGAACTTAGTAATTTGCCAATTTTAAAAAATATATGCACCTTTAAAAAAGACTTTTCTTTTCTCATCATTTCTTTTAATTTGATGTTGTTTTGCAAAGCAAATTGTTGCAAATGGACTATAAACTCATTAGTTATCAAGCCAAAGCATACGCATTGGCACAGTCCAGTTCAGATGAGCAAAGAAATCCAATTCAGGTTATTCTCCTTACTTCACATTAGCTAATAGGCTCAGAGATCCTCTAGCTATCAAAGTACAGGTACAGGTTTTATTTTCTAACATTGTTTCCCTGGAACAGTTATAGGTAAATCCCATATTGGATTTTCATTCCTCTATGAACCGGAATCTAGATACACCACGTTATGAAGTTACGTTAAACTTGCCAAGTAGCTGAGTTATAGAGTTTAAGGCCAGAAGGGACCACCAAATCATTTAATCTGACTACTTGTATATCACAGGCCACCAATACCACCCAGCACCTGCACACTAACCCAACAACTGAAATTAAAGCAAAATATTTTTGACTAGATATTAGACTATTATGTGCCAGAGGCAGAGAATGGGAGGTGCACTGATGCCTGAGGCCCCTGACAGGGCAGGGAATTAAGTGTGATACACCTGGGTGATCCCTGCAGGTTGCCCACACCTTCCACTGCGAGGAAGGCAAAAAAGATCATGGACAATCTGACCTGGGGGAAAATTCCTTCCCGACCCCACATATTGCCATCAGTTAGGCCCTGGATTGAGTGTATTAGCTTTGAATAATTATAGTAAAACTTCATTAAGAAGTCCCTAGCTTAAAATACGAACACCCTTATAACAATAATCATGGCTTCGACCTGACAGCTCCATTTAATGAATTGAGTTAGTACTCATTCATTAACAGTCCTTCACTAAAACATTTTTCCATGGATGTAAGCATGAGCGGCGGGTATAATAGGCTGGGGAAGGCTGTAGTTCCCGAAACAGCCCATGTGGCCTTGCCCATGCTCCACCCCGAGGCCCCTCCCTGCTTGCCCTTCCCCCTTGATGGGAGCTCTGGACTTCAGCGGGGGAAGGAGGGTGGGAGGGGTGGGGCCTCAGGCAGATGGGGTGGGCTGGGCAGGGGGCTAGCCTCCCCGAGCCCGGGATTCACCCACTGCCCATGGATGTAACACTAGTTTTTCTTTCCTCTGCTGCTCTGTGACCTCATTTTAGTATGAGTATCATGTCATAAACTCATATATGGCATCATTCATGGATTTAACATGCCCATTTTTCCTTTCCTGAGGTGAAATTCACCCCGGTGTTCTATGAATACCATATATTGCATATAGGGTATGCCATGTGCCGATTAGTATGACGAAAGTGGTGGGAGGTCATTTCTGGAAACATTCACACAATAAAGAGGAGAGCAATGCAAGAAAAACGATTCCTATTTTGGATATAATTTCCCGTGAATGTAATGTGGTTTTTCTTACAACACTTTATAGCATGATGTTATAAGAAGATTTTATTTACTGCATACTGGCATGACTGACTAAAAAATGTGTATATGAAAATATATTAGACTTTGCCTTTTATGATGAGATTTTTAGTATTCTTAATTGGTATAGTATAGCAATTATAGAAAGCTACATAATATCAATGAATAGATGTTTGATGGATTCCAGGGAGCTCAGTGTATTTCGGTACTGGCTGCTTATCAAGCTAGCTAAATCGCTTATAAGAAATTCACAGAGGTCATGACTGCTATTCCAGCTTTCCCCATATATGACTAGCAATTCCACCTTACTTGACTAGTACAATTTTTACAGCAATGCTGGAAAGCTGTTTGAAACAATGCCCACTTCCTATTTACTCTCTGTTCTTTCTAGTGCCTTTAGTTTCAGGATGATAAAAAGCTACTTACTTTGCTAAAATAAATTTCTTCTGTCTGTGATGTGTCCATATCAACAGTATAAATATGGTCCCTGTAAACAAAGGTAAATCAATGCAAAGTCAAAAGCACTGGTCAGTTTATTTTATACAATAAAAAAAAGAACAGACACGATACAAGAAAACACTACTGATTGCTTGGTCTGCTTCTTCTGAGAATGCACCACTGTACATAAACTGCTTTGCTTTTTCAATTAGAAGAGAAATTCTAAAAAGCTAACTCAAGATTCTTCCCAGTATCTTATTTGTATGAATGAGATTTAAGAAAGGGGGCTAGTTCCTCATCTCTGGGGTCTGGTGGGCAGATGTTTTTGTGCATCTTTATATCAACTGCAATCCTATTTAGGCAACCTTTACCAGCTTCCTGGGATGGCATTCAGTATGCCATTCATAGTCATCTGAGGTTAATGCCTTTTTTTTTTTTTTTTTTAAAAGTTATACCTCCAACCTCAGCTGTAATTATTTGATTGACAATATGGAAGGGAAAAAATTGACAGCAACAAAATTGGTCTTCTCTTCATACACTGATGGCCAAATTAAACTCTAAAATTCACCCTCAGAAGTTTAAATCTCGCCTGTGCTCACCTTCCTGTTTTGCTGACAACCTGGGTTTCTCTACAATTAGCTACCAATCTTCCCTGAGCAACGGGAAACAGACTCAGAAAGTCAGGTGAGGGGATATTTTTAAGCAGTCCCCTTCTGTGTGAGTGGATCACAGAGACATTTTTGACTGGGGCACAGAATTAAAAAAAAAACAAAACACCTGAAAGAGCCACACCAAATTGGGCAGGAGGGGTGAAAAACACCCAACATCTAATTTTTCCTTGAAATAACAATGACTTTTTAAAAAATGCAGGAAGTCTTGCGGCTAGAAAACGATTCATAGGTTTAAAAGGGGGCTATATCGGAGTCTGTTGAAAGTAGGATACAGATTGTTTCCATTTTAGAAGCCTCTGTTGTCAAGATTAGCTTCATTTTATCAAGTTTGAGAGAAACAATATTAGCTAACTAAAGCAGACAGAAAACACTCTTTGCTGTAAGATGAAAATAAGCAACACTTCTCTCACATGGAGAAAAGGGGCAGCATTGTTAATAGAAATTGGCTTAAAAAAAAAATCTGTCTGCCACTGCAGTTGAGGCAGTTTGTTTTGTAAGATGCCAAACTGAGGAGGTGTTTTTCTCCCTCAGTCTTCAATACAAACCAGAACTGTCATTTACTTTCAAGATGGGTTTAATGCCTTATTATTTGCTTGACTTTACCAGCGGAGCTATGGTCAGGGTCAGTGTCAGAATAAAATTACATATTAGCATATCAGCTTTTTAGACAGCAATGTTACTTATATATCATAGTTGCAGTTGGGGCTACTACATAAAATTAGAAACCAAGAATCTGAATTGTAAATTGACTGATTATTATGCATTGGCAACACCTGAAAAAGTGTTCTGATTGGCCCCCTTCTGGCACAACTCTTTACATTAATTATCATTTTAGTGCTGTGGATTTCTTTTTAAAAAGACAAACTAGCAACAACAAAAACCCAGTAAAAATAAATGGGTGAAATTCAGAAAGAGGCTTGTGTTACTTAGCATCACTCACACCGTGGCCCTTCTGAGCGACTTAAATGAGTAAGCGACTTACTTTCTGGCTTGCCAAAGTGTCATAGGAGAATTCAGACACCAAGTTATGGAATTATGTCAATGAAATCTGATTTCAGGATAACTAAAACCATTTCCGCATGCTGTATCTAACGCACAGTTGCCCACAGTGTTGGCAAAAATTAAAAGAACTGTCTAGTGAAAGGCATTATAGATACTAACAGACTGTTTTGCCCTCTCTGCCCCAATACTGCCTACTGGCTGTGGTATGTGTACAGTTCTCTGCTAATTAAGTTATTCTAACACAAACTGACTTAATCCTAGTGCTTCTGTTTTCCCACCTCGTCAGCAGAACTGAATTTTGTTGCCATGGTATAATCTTGTGGAGGCAGGGAATTTAAATAATGCTGCTGGCTGTGCATGACCCTTGGCCACTCAGTGCAATGTCTGGAAATGTGTAACTGCACTCTGGTACTGCAGAGGCTCAATGAACCATTCTGTGCATACATATGGGAGGTGACAGATCATGGGAGCAAAAGCAACCACCAAACAAGTCAGCAGGAAGAGATGACACAGTGAACTTCAGGAAAGGTGTGTGCAAACCTGCACCCTCTGAGGGAAGAAGAAAATGCTGCTATTCTGTTACATATCCAGAGGGACAGCTCAGGGGCAACATTTCAGAAAAACTCAGCTGGGGGTAAGAGATGGGAAAAGTTGTGACAGCACAGAACATAATTTATGACTGTATTGTACCCTGCAAAGTTGGGGGAGGGGCAAAAAGTGGAAGATATTCTGGAGCATACAGGCCTAGGAAAAGTCTGAGAGGAGCAAACTAAGGTCTGGAGGGGCAACTGCCCCGCTTGTCCCATAGCAAATGATGCCCCTGTGAAAGATGCTCAGCTGATGTAAATTGGTGTACTGCTCTAGCCTCATTGATTTCAGTGAAGCTATGCGAACTTACATCAGCTGAATATCCAGCCCATAATTTGCACTGAAATCTTTCAAAACCCACAAAAAGTGTTTAATAATAGTTAGTACAAAATTCTTATATACATCCCCATATCCTATTTGACAAAACAGGCAATTGACAAACAGATTTTGTTGTATGCCAGACATCCAGTAGTAAACGGTTAGCTGTCTCTGAAATTAGTTTGTCCTTTTTTCCAGGGAAATTAACTGCAAAGTGAACAGTGAGCACTGGATTTTCTTAAAAACCTCTATGTTTAATCATTTGTTTTCATTGGTTTTCAGATAATTGGGTACAAATGTAAACTTAGTTTCACTATATTTAGACACCCAGAAAACAACTTAAAAGAAGCATCTGATATGGTAGCTAAGGGATTTATGCTAAATACAGATTCAATTAATCCTGTTATGAAGCTCTTTGATAAACACTTTTGATTGTGTTCCCATTTGCTTCAGTCTCTCAGTTTATTGCCACCATTAGTGTTACAGATATAAACTTTCACTCACTCTAATTATGGAAAGATCACTCATTTTTAAAAGTTTATCACTTGAAGATAAAAATGACCTTTTGAATTTTAACTTTTATTACATAGGCTTCTCAATCTAGCAGGGATTTTTTCCCAGTAACATTCTGAGGAGGAAAATAATCTACTTAACAGTTTTTTAGTTACTGGAACAAAGAAAAGTTTAAGAAGATTTTTTGTGGTTGTGTAAATAAAAATGGATTACGTCTTTCTGTTCTTTTTGCAGGTCATTTGTCCCCAATAATGTCGAAGCACTTCTCTATTTGAATATAATATAATATTTTATATATACACATTCACACACACTCATACACAATTATGGTATATATTACACATACACAGACTAAGGAGCCAATTCTTTTTAAACATGAACTGTAATTTGTGAATTGTAATTTGCCATCACGAAAAGTTCAGATTCTTTTTCAAACTGTAGCATCAGTGTGCAGCGGAGGCATGTAGCTTGCTGATTACAAGTTAATATTTGCATCAACATTTTAGTCTGGGAACAATGTTTGGATATTTTAATCCACCAAGCAGATTCACATTTCTAATTCTAATTCTAATTGTCACATTGCAAATAACCTGCCAATTTAAAAAAGAAAACATACACACACACACAAAAATAAGGCAATTCCCCCAGGAAAAATTACATTAAGGAGTAAATCCTGCCCTCCCTCTGGCTCCCCCACATGCATGTAACCACACAGGTACTATGTTTTCATGGGAAGGCGAAGAGTGGAGCACTCTCCCTGAGAGACTCTGCACAGTCTCTGTGTCATTGAGCCAAGTTCCACACTTGTTCTTTGAAGAATAATTGAAGGCGAAGTTGTTCGGTGGGAGGCATGGACAGTGGTTGCATGCATAACATGGATCCTGTTGCCCAAAATACTACAGGGGGCAGCATAAATCACATCCATTGCGCCCATCCCAAACCTATAGTAGAAACTGTCACCTGTTTGGGCAGTGTAGGAGGTGCTATAGCAGTGCTATAGAAGCTGAAGCTAAGGATTCTAGTCCTCTGCCTGTGATGTACAACCATCTATTTATTTGGGCTGCTCTTTCCCAGCAGTTGGCCCCTAATGAAAATTAAAGGCTAGCCTGGTTATCTAGTCCTTTATTGAGTGCAACAGGCTGCAATGCAGAATATCTGAGTTTGAGACTTGATAATCTTTTAATGCCTTGTGGACAGGAATTGGGAATGTTACAGAAGCATGGCGTGCAATACTTTGTAATAGGCTGGAGCACGCATGAGGATCAGCACAATGATGTATGGTAAAGGTCTGAGGAAAGGGTAAGGGGGGAAAATAGACAAAATGGCCTTGTTTTGAAAATATATGGTCTTAACTTAAAACACTACTCCCTACTCTGCCATAACTCTAAGACTGTGCATCCTTTTCTAGGGACTGCTGGCCTTGGAGAGTACTTGCTAAGGAAAGGAAAGGAAAGGAAAGGAAAGGAAAGATCATAGGAAACCAGCAGAGAACTGTGGACCCAAAATCTCCAGGACATGTGAGAAATGCAAGCCTATATATGAAGAGTTTGTCAGAAACTGAGCTTTGCAGTGAAATCTTCAGATTCCTCCAATGTCTAGGCATAATGAGAAGCAACTTGAAAGTGCAGTTACGGTGTAAAAATGGCACCTTCTTACTCAACAATTCTGTTCCTTGGCATATCAATCAATCCATCAATCAATGACTCTAACCCATCTGCTCCCTGAATATATTCTTTCTTATGTGCCAATCAGCAGGGTATTTAGGTACCATTCTGTGACATTTATGTAATAACAATAAGTTTTGACCTCCTGTTAGCATTGGAAAGCCAAAAACATATGGGAGAATGAGTATTTACATATAATATGCACCAGGTCTGCAGCTGTTAAAAATTGGTATAGTTCCAATGAAATTGTAAGAGATATGCCAATTTACACCAACTAAGGAGCTGGCCTTATAAGCCTTCTCATACAAATGCATGTGTTTGTGTATATAAAAATATAACTGTCTAGCAAAAAGCTGCAGAAAAGACATTTAATTAACCTCATGGAGTACATCAAAAGAAAAGCAGTAAACATATTTCTTCTGCTTTTTTTTTTTTGGTTTTACTATAAAATATGCCTAGAACATTAAACTTTAATTACTCTTATTCAAATATGTACTTATGCACACAGTGGATCATTTGTGTTTGTTCTCCAAAATATGTAATTAATTGTGTGCTCAAACAAAATCACAAACTCCTTTAAGGAAATAATAATTCTGTCTCTATCCTCCAAGTCCTTGTGAGTCCCTTCAACTTCCATTGGCTTTAATGGGGGCTGCAGATGGCCAGCACCCCCAGAAGCTGCTCAGCGCCTTGCAGGATTGAGCCCAAGATGACAAACTAATGTAGCTTTTAAGATGTATCACAGATAGACTATAAAGACCAATGTGTGTGATAAAATCCTAAAATAAATGTCTGGCAGAGATAAACTCAGAATATCATTTTTTTCTAGGAGTAGCAAGAAGGGAATTAGGAAAACACTACAGACCTAGCAGCAATGTAGAGGGTTCTGTTCATTATCATGATCAGCTGGATGTCCAGCCTGTGCCTTTGTGTGGCGTTCCGTCCTGGCTTGTGCCCCACAAACACCGGATACTGTTTTGTATCTGTGAGAAGGGAAAGGGATTGGGAGAAAGAAAGCAAAAAGACACAGAGACACTCACATTATGAAATCATGTTAACATGGAATATCCCATCACCAAACCCACTGCCAAAATCTATAATTCCTGCTCTTACTGTCTCTCCCCACCATACAGCCTGGGGTACTGAAGTAATAGCACAGTGGATTGCATAGCTCATCAAGGTTATAATCTTTGTTTGCAATTGTCAAGGAGAAAGCCATTATGTTTTTGGAAATGAAAAACTGTGATTTCTGAGAGCATAAAACTGCTCTGAGAGTTCTTGGCATAAAGGTACTTAGCACTTCCACACAGTTTTCCTTTCATCCCCTGCAGTGTTTTAAATGCTGGATGCTGCCTGCCAAAGTTTATCTTTCAGGACAAAGCTATTTTATGGTACAGTATACAGTGGCTTTCAATCTGTGGTCCATGGACATCCGGAGGCCCGCAGACTATGTCTAAAGGGTCTGTGAAAGGTTGTCATTACCTTAGTACAGTGGTTTTCAATCTGTGATACATGGACCCCGGCGGGTCCGCAGACTATGTCTAAGATTTCCAAAGGGGGCCGCATCTCCATTTGAAATTTTTTAGGGGTCCACAAATAAAAGAGGGTCAAACCCACTATTTTATAGTAACTTACCTGTCACTGCAATGGCTATGCTGGCTAGTGGTTAGAGCTAAGGACTTGGCATTACTAGGTATAAAATTGCCAGCTTCACAGGTTTCCTATAGGATTGGGCTGCTAGTGCAGGGCAGCTGTATTTTTTCTAGAAGCTGTGGGTAGCCATTAATTGTCCTTTATTTATTTATTTATTTATTTATTTAACCTGACTGTTTTTGGTTATATTTATTTATTTTTGGCAACCTGTCTGATACATCAGTTTTCCTAGCAGCCAGATGATAATGCTGATTGGAAGTCTGTACCAGTAGCCACTCAGCCTTTTCCCCAACTCTGACAGTCAGTGAGAGCACTTATTCATTATATTCCAGAGCTCTCGTTGCTGGGAAGTCAACATGCACTGATGGGATCTATATACAATCTGTATGTAGATCCTATAATAGACACCCAGAAAACATTTCTGACAGAGTTTCTGTCTGTCTGATGCATTTGCAATGCATGTCTCTAGATGTAAGAGCTAGTCAAATAAGCAGCTCCCAGAAAAGCAATCAGAAAGACACCCAGAAAACAGAAAGAAAACCAGACTATGAGTAGGAGCAGCATCAGAAGGCAGAAATCCTGCACATTCACATAATGCAGTTAACTGGCATCTAATCAAGCATTAAGCCCTTTCTCCCGAAATCTGTTTGCTCCAAACAAACAGCGCTACCTTGGAGGGGGGTGGTGGTATTATTGTAGATATTCTGCTTTAATTTTCTCGGTGAACTCTCTTTAGGAGGGTCTTTGGTACTAATCTTGGTTGAGCTACTGACTCACTGCATAGGCTTGGGCAAATCACTTTGTGTCTTAGTTAGCCCAGTTGTAAAATTTGGTACAAACAGGAACTTCCCTGCAATCCAGATGCTGCATCTGAGCAGACCATTTCTGGGTAAATAAATTAACCAAACTCAGAGGATTGAGGTTCAGAAGGTTAATCTTCCTGACCAAGATTTACTTGAGAAGTACTAATTTTTAACATTCCAGCTTTCCTTTCCTCTGTCCAACACTGCTTCCTTTGTAACTGACTGCCCTTGTGTGAACTGAGGCCTGTATGTTTGCAGCCATTTGACATTCATAACATAGAAATAGAAGTTTCACATATTTTTCTCTGCAGAGGGGTTAAGATTGCTGACTTGCCATTCCTTAATCACACTTTTACAAATGCAGGTGCCAATCCTGACAAGTGCTGAACACCAGGGCTAGATTCACAAGGGGGATTTAGTTGTTGCAGTGTCTAACTTCGAGGTGCCCTGACACCTAGTGGAGTTCACAGCCCCAAGTGAGGCGCCAAGGCTTCCTATATAATGTGTGGGGAGAGTTAGGCACCTAAAAATGGGATTCACAGAAGCCAGCAAGCTGAGCAGTCTGCCAGCTAAGCTAGCCAGTAGCAGGGATGAGAGGAGGCCAGTGTGGGCTGGTACGGCATACTGGTAAGAAGTGGCCACTGGTACCAGCCCGTACGCAGCTGACGTTAAAGTACTACTGCGGCAGCACTTTAACATTGCTGCACCTTTTGTCCCCCACCCCGTCAGCAGGGCAAAAGGGGCAGCTGCTCTGGAGCTAGCAATTTAAAAGAGCCCAGGGCTCCCTACCACCGCCGCTGCTACTGGGTAGCATGGGCCAGGCAGCATGGATGGGCTGGCTGGGGGAGGCTGACCCACAGCCCTGCCCCTTCTGCCCGAGGCCGGGGCCCCATATCGATAAGTGCTTAATGTAACTTTCACCCCTGGCCTGTAGGAAATGCTGAGGAGAGAGGCCTAAGCCCTGCCCCTCAAAAGGAGTTAGGTGCCTAAGTCTGGGCCAAGGGAAATGCCTATCCCCCCTCAGGATTCATGGCTGTGAACCCTCTCATGGACTTAGGTACCTAAGTCAGGTCAGCCCTTTCCCAAGAAAAACTGAGTTGCAGATGGTATCTCACCCTTTTATCCAATAGTTCAGGGGTTAGAGCATTCATCTTAGAGATGAGAGACGTTGGTTCAAATCCGACAGAGGGGAATTTGAATACAGTTCTCGCACTTTCCAGGAGAGTGCCCTAACCACTGGGTATTCTGGGGTGGGTCTCTCTCAGTCTCTCCTGTTGACACTGTTCCATTTTGTATAAACTAATTAAAAACTCCTGGGCCAGAGAGAGTGGTAATGACTCTATAGCCTGGAAGGCATTCACCTGGGAAGGGGGAGACTCAAGTGCAAGTCTCTACACTAATGAATATTGAATTATTTATACAAAGTGGAATAGCTCCAACAAGAGAGAGAGCCCAGAAATTACAGCACTCACTTGCGAGGAGGAGCTCTGTGTTCAAATCTCTGTTTCTTGTCTGGGCTATGTGTATGCCTAATGGATCGGGCCATACAGGCGGGGAGGATGCCTACTTTGTAAACTCACTGGGGCACAGGTGTGAATTGGATACCAAGGTGCTGGACAGTGTAAGATTTCGTGGCATAAATTTATGCACCTCATAAATTTCACAAAGGAAACTTTGATGCCTAGGTAGCTCCAGAGTTACGGTGGGCATTGTGTGAATGCCAATGGCACCTGCTTGTTGTACTTAGGCTACTAAAGGGGCTGTGAGATGCCTAAGTCCCCCTTGTGAATTTAGCCCCCAGAAGGCTTTTTTGGAATAATTGTGATTGAACTGTGATAACCATGATAAAGAGGAACTTGGTAATAATACTGAGGGTCTGAGCTAGGTGGTCAAATGCAGTGCATGCTTTCTCACCTAGTCCAGCCAGGCCATCTTGATCCGGACTTGCAGCACCCTGTGCTAGCCTAGTCTCAGAGAGAGTCCCCATTAAAGCAGGATAGAAAATGAAGAATATTTGTTGCAAAAATTTAGCCTTTTCATCAAAATGTTTTTGTCAGAATCTTACAAACAGTTTTACTGCCCAAAATGCCAAATGGTAAAGTGGGACAAAGATTCATCAAAGGCTGAGCAAACAAGTCTGGTTATTTGTGTAGTTCTAGAAAAATCATTTCAATGGTATTTCCTCAACACAGCTACATTAGTGAGCTACACCTGATATATGGACTTGGTTGGTTCTCCAGAACTTTGCTTCTGGGGAGTCAGGTAAAAAACTCTCTGTTCATAAAAAACAAGCTTTCTTCATTTGTTGTTGGGTAGAATGGGAAACTGTGGCCTGACTGCACTGCAGGAACTCCCGTTTGAAGAGTATTCTAGGTTATGGTTTTGGAGGAGCAAGCAGCTCATCAGTTCTGAAAACCCAAGTCAGGGCAGAAGTGTTCTGCTCCAGTTTTATCATCTGGGAATGTAATCTGGCTGATCTGAAGAGCCATCAAGAAATAAAAAACATTGTTCATTTCAGATCAGCTAAAACTGTGTAATTTTGAAGTTCAGCGATCAATACATTCCTTCTTGGAACTTGGGGGAGGAAAAAAGCACCAGGCCTTTCATACTTACAGTTGCCATGCGAAATACTGATTGGCTCAGAATCTTCTGGGAAACCAGCCCCAGCAAAGTGTAGCAGTGTGAAATATAGCAGCAAGGCTTCTGACCTCATAGTAGTTCAGCGGGGAGACTTTACTTCTTCACTTCACCCTGTAGAAAACAAACAAGGGCATAAGAGCTTCCTGTCCATTCTGTTTTAACTACTGCACACAGAAAGTAGGGTTTGAATGGTCAACAGATAACAAAGGGGATTCTCACTATAAAGTAACAAATAAGTGTAATTTTTAAAAGAGTCTGCCCTGCTGGGCCACTTTTCTTTCATTCCTCAGGCCCATATCAGTCACGCCTGCAACTTGGCTTTGAACAGATTTAAATATGCTGTGAGCTACCTGTGAATTTTCTGTCTCAGCTGATTGGCCCCAATAAAGAAACTTTGTCCTCTGAGTCAATCGACAGCTGACAAGAGTTTTTAGGGAAATACTCCATCTGCTGTTTCTTTAGGTAGGTTTACATAATTAGATGATGACACAGGCCATAAATAAAAACCACACTACATTATTTAGGTTAAAAAAAGTGATTAAAGGTTATACTGGAAGACTGATTCATACCCTGCAGAGTTGTGAATCAAACACAGAAACACAGACAGTTTGATGGAGCACACTGAACATGTCATTGGGCTTTACCATAAAAATATGTACCCATAAATTTAAGTACCATAAAACCAACACTCCAACTTGCAATAAAATAAAGGTGAATAGAACTGTCTAACATCAGAGTTTTTTCCCTCATGTTGCATCAATGCATTCGCTCATTGACATTCCATGTGCTAAATAAATCAATAAATTCCCAAATCTTGGAGATAAAAAGAACAAAAGGTGCCTGTGCATACAGTGAAAGAAAACATCATAATACAGTAAATAGCTCATAACTCCCAGGCAAATTTCACAGAGGTGCTGATCTGCAGGGGAAATCAGTCTAAAAGTGGGGTTTTCTTTTCAGCCCTTCCAGGGTTTCAAACCTTTGATGCTGCGTGCCAAAGATTATCTTTCTGAACAAAGCTATTTTACAGCAGTCTGTCAATCATTCAAGATTTATGTGCAGAAAGTCAAACTTTGTAACCTAGATAGTCTTTGAAAGTTACTTTGGCAAATAAAGTGCTAACTTGCCCTTTTGCAACACTATTTAATATTAGATACCTATGTCTCCTTTTTCCATGCCAAAAAAAGCATTAACAAGTTCTGAGTGTTGCATTTTTACTTGCAATTTCACAGACACAGCTGGTTCCCAATCATTTATTCAATTGGAAACGTCACACTAATTAATTTGCCTTTTCTAATATGTGCTTTGAAATAAAATCCCAGCTCCTATAACTGAACTTCAGATGGAAACTCTGTTGAAGGGCATTGTGATCCCTCAGGGCTATAACTAGATGATTTATTATACTCCATGTTTGCCTATTATTGTTCACACACACACACACACACACACTTGAAAACTTGGCTGCTTCTGTATTTTTATTAACCAAAGTTTGAACCCATAGAAAATAAACTCTGATGTGAGCCACTCTGTGATTAACTAACTGACTCCTCGACTGCCACATAGCGTTAAAAGAATGGCAAAGGTACAACAGCAAGAGTAAGTAAAACATAAAACAGAAACTGGCTGGCTATTATATTTTACACAAGGAAACATATGGGGAGAGCATAATGCACAGGAGTCGCGAGAGAAACAGTTCTGTCTGGCATTAGGCTAGTGGCCACCTGTGACTACTGAGACAATTGTGCCTCCCCATAGCTACTTTATTTTCTCCCTTCCCACATTTGTCTCATTAATCACCTGTTTCCTAGTGTCTAAATTGTGAGCTCTCTGGGGCAGGGACTATCTCCATGTTATTTTTTGTATAGTGCCTAATATAATAATCCTTGTTTGAGGTCCTTAGGTGCTACCAGAACAGAAATAACAAATAAGAAGGAGAATACTCAAAACCACAGATTCCTCGGGGTTTGCATTCAAGGAAGGATTTAAAAGGAAAAAAAGAATTAAGGGGCTGATTTTCGTCCCTCTTACAAGCCTTTTGAAATACAGTTTTGCCTTTACCTTTAAAGACTCATTTTTCATATTCGGTATGAAGCACCTGTTTTGTCTCTACAAGTGCATTGCAAGGTGACAGAACAAAGTATACTGCTTTACTATATCAACAAATTTCAATTCCTTCCTTCTTGCAAATGCTTTGGTCAAATGCAAAGCTCTTTTCTGAAGTACAGGAGAGGAACAGTCATTTATCTAGAAGAAATTTAACAAGCAATTCGGTTTCTCAATTTAAATCCTTTCCACCCACAATATCAGTCTGCAGGCTGATACTTCAAATTTAACATGGCTTACAGTGGGACTGCAACAGAAGAATAGCTGCTTTATGTTACTCCCTATCAGCACATCATCAGCTAGCTAACAATGTATGTATTATATGTGGAAAAGCATTAAGGCAGCGTTGATAAATCTTGCCCATTCCACTTTAGAGCTTTAAAAACTTTATTCAGGAGAGGTTGTGATATATCACTCCCTTCTTCTCACTCAACTTTCTGAACCGTCCCATGTAAACATGTAGACAAGAGGGTCTCCAGTCAGATTAATTACCTCTGTTATACTACCGGTCATTTTAAGTATAGTTTAACAGACAGGATTTTTTTCTCACATGAACACAAAGAGAAGACTAAGGAGTTTTCAGTTCTGCCATCTAACAGCTTAATAGTGCAAAGCTGTTTCTACACACAAAGGCCTGAGTCTGCAAAAAGAAGTGAGGCGTTGTGATGCTCCGTGTCATAATGCCTAACTTTTTTAGGTGTCTAGAGAATCACTGTGATTCACAAAGCCTCAGTTAGGCACCAAAGCTCCTATCAAATGAATAGGCATCTTATACTGTGATTCACAAAAGCCAGCATGCTATGCAGGGAGCCACCTAAACTAGCCAATGGGAGATGCCAACGATAGGAATGTGTACTAAGCCCCACTCATGTCTCAGAGATAAGTGTCTAAGTGCAGGTCGCTCTTTGCAATGCCCAGATGCAAACCCTCTCTTGGCATTAGGTGCCTACACCATTTTAACAAGAAGCTGGGAGGAGGTGCTTCCCCCATAGTTTTTAGCCCAGTGGTTAGGGATGTGGGAGAGCCCCTGATTCAATTCCCCCTTCCTCTGAGGGGAGAAGGCATTTACCACCTCTCAGATGAGTGCTCTAACCATTGGGCACTAGGATATTTGGAGGTGGGAGCAGGGTGTCCCTCAGTCTCTCCTGTTGAAGCTGCTGCACTCTAGATAACTAATTAAAGAGTCATTGGAGCATGGGGACCTGATTTTCTGTCTCCCACCTCCCAGCTGCATGCTCTGACGACCTAGCCTAAGTTCCCACTAAGATGTGCAGCCGCATGGCCGCGCAGCAGGCTGTCAAGGGCTGTGCAGGCGGGAGAGGCACCTCGTCCCTGGCCCTGGCCCCAGAGCTGCCCCAGTGGGGAGAGGCGCTCTCCCCCCGGCCCTGGGCTGTTGTAGGGAGAGAGGGCTGGGGGGGAGTCCTCTCTCCCCACTGCAGCCCCGGGGCAGCCTGCACCCCAAACCTCTCATTCCTGGTCCCACCCCAGAGCCAGCACCGCCAGTCAGAACCCTCACCGCCAACACCCAACATTCTACCCCAGCCCTGAGCCCCCTCCCACACTGCAAACCCCTCGGCCCCAGCCACACATCACCTCCATATTGGTGCACATAACAAAATTCATTCCGCACATGGATGTAGAAAATTAGAGGGAATATCATTGCACTTGGTTATAGAGTCATGTTCATGCTTGCTTGCTTGCACTCTCTGCCCAAAATGTCTCCTTAACTGAGAGGGAGAGCACAAGCATGTGAACGACTCTAGAGGTTTGAGCACTCAAGTGAGAGGTGGAAAACCCAGGATCCAGTCTCCCTGCTCCAATGACTCTTTAAATATTTATGCACAGTGCAAAATTTTCAACAAGAGAAACTAAGGGAGCCCCACATCAAGTGGTTAGAGCAATCACCTAAGAGGTGGTAAATCCCTGTTCAAATCCCTTCTCCCCTCAGGTGAAGGAAGGGACTTGAACTGGGGCACTCCTATATTCCAGGTGAGTTCCCTAACAGCTGAGCTAAATGCTATGAGGGAACACCTCCTCTTTCCCAGGTATTTTGTGAGAACTCATCTGAAGGGCCTAATCCAGTAGACATGTTCACAGGGCCCCTACCGGATTGGGCCCTGCACCCAACTTAGGCAGCGGAATGCCTGCATTCCCAGGTTTGTGAATCACTTTTACAGCAGGAGATAGCTGCTCGGGTGCCTATTGGGAGGCATGAGTACGCATGCTCCAAGGCTGAAACATAGGTGTCCACGGATCTTTACTGCAAAAAAGTAGGTGTCATGTGAGTTTAGATGCCTACAGGGTTCAGCGGGAGTTTTGTGCACCGCAGTGTTCCAAAACCTGGACTTTGGCACCTTACTCGTTTAATGAATTCAGGCCAAAATCCTCTGTCATTCTTAAGGATATTTTTATTTGTTTTTAATAAACGTGGAGGCTGATTATGTACCACCCTACACTTTGTGTAGTCATTAGCACCAGTACAAAGTAAGTACAAAACGCTCCCATTCTGATCTGTTAGAACATTATACCCACTCTTCCCTGGGGTAAATGCCTACTGAGCAATGGAGAACTGGGTCCAAGGTGAGTCTATCAGCCAATGTCAGCTTTTTCTGGAAGGTAATTATACTAATTTAATATGAATTTTGGCATCCTTTCTGTGGTGCAAGATTTTTGTCCAGTTTCAGTGACATTTTAGAAAGATGCTTGTTAGAAATAGTTACATTCCTTTCTAATATAAATTCCCTTTTCAGCAAGTCCTCTGCTCTAGTTGGGCTCCTGTGAATGATACAAGTATTTTGACTTACAAGTGTGATGGAACTACTTCCTAACCAAATGTTCTTCCATATGCAGCATGTGATGAAGCACAAGTAGCCAGATGGTGATGCCCAGAGAGTAGAGGTACCATCTCCAAATAACGGCTTTGTAAACATCAAGGTTTAGATCCTCAGCTGGTGTAAATTGGAGTAGCTCCATTGACTTCAATAAAGCTAAGCCCATTCATATCAGCT